TGCAGAAATCGAGTCTTCCATATTTCTCTCATCTACTAGGTATCAAAATAAAAAAGCCTTTGCTCATGTACTTTGGTGAAATAGCTTTAAATAAAACATCTATGATAGTATGACGCTAAGAAGGATCTCCAGCACGAATTTTACTTTTACGGATAACATAATCAGATCATTATTGTTTATCTTAATTCAAAGTACGAACTATTAAGTGGTGTGTGAAGAATAAAGATCTTAAATGTTGATGATCTTCTTCTGCATCTTTTGTTTTGTTTTTGTTAAGTACCAATTGAGGTAGTTTATAAAACTTGGTTTGTTGAATGAAATATACTTTTTCAGGAAATGGTGAAGGAGAAAAAAATGATATTCTCGTTTGATTCAACCAAAAAAGCTCGTTTTGGGGTACTGCCTCGATATGCCAAGAATGAGATGCAAATTAGATGGTTTGAGCTTCCAAACTGCTTCATATTTCACAATGGTGTGTTTATTTGTCCCTGTTTCTCCTTGACAAAAATTCTTGATTGACGTCCTGTGATTATGATTCAGTAAAATTTGCAATAAATGCTGAGTGCATTGCAACAGCATTTAAGTTCTGGCTCAAGCATGATGGATTCTCCCGTCAAGCCTGTAGGCTGTCTCAATTGATGGATAGCTATGTGGAAGTTTAACATTTCTTGCAATAATATGCTTAGCACTGTATATGAGAAGAGGAGAAATGTCATATGGATTGGGGCCGTCAATAATTATTGGCTTTTAGACATTTTTGTGTATACGAAACAGGCTTGTACTGAGGACATATACCATCACATGTGAAACATCATTATCTATGAAACTTTGAAAAAGGAAAAAAAAAAAAAATCAAACTATCAATCTGCATTTAACGTCATTAATTATCATTGATTGTTCAAATCTGCTTTATAATCTTTTACATAATGTTCTGTTCTAGCTAATGCTTGGGAGGAGGAGGAGGATGTCGTTTTGATTACCTGCCGTCTTGAGAATCCAGATCTGGACATGGTCGGGGGTGCTGTCAAGGAAAAGCTTGATAATTTTGTAAATGAGCTGTAAATAATCTCAATCCTATGTCTCATTAGTGGAACTCTAACTACTGGACATGTTTTGTTTATCTTACACGTTTATCACTAACTGTCTTAGGTATGAAATGAGATTCAACATGAAAACTGGTCTAGCTTCACAGAGGAAACTATCAACATCTGCTGTAGATTTTCCTAGAGTAAACGAGAGCTATACTGGCAGGTAAGTTTATCTCGTCTGTTTTGGCGGAATTCAGGGTATACGTAGGTTTATATAAGCGAAGGAACTTCTCTGGGTAATGAACATTTAGAACTAGATTCTGAACTTGTCCATTAAGTTTGTGGTTGTAACTTTCAATATCCATCCTCTTCTTTTCTTTTGTGTTCAAGGGGATAAAGATGGAGCGATGCTCCCATATGTGATTTTCAAATAATGTTCTAAGATAAAATTAGGACAGTGAATATAATTAATTCTTGTTTTCCATCACTTGTATTTACTATTTCCATTCTCAAATTCAGGAGGCAGCGATACGTTTATGGAACCATATTAGACAGCATTGCCAAAATCACAGGTATTATCAAATTTGATCTGCACGCTGAACCAGATTCTGGGAAAACAAAGCTTGAAGTTGGAGGAAACATTCTGGGTATCTATGACTTGGGGCCAGGGAGATTTGGTTCTGAGGCTATTTATGTCCCTCGCGTGCCTGGCACTGATTCGGAGGAAGATGATGGATACTTGATATTTTTCGTGCACGACGAGAATACGGGGTATGTCTTTCCTCTTCACCGTAAAGAGAGTGATTTTACGGCCCCTTTGGTATAATGGGAATGAGAAAGGGGAAATAGGAATGACAAAGCTCTTTCCTATATATTTGGGAAGCTCTCTTTTCAAGAAATTCAACATGCTATATATAAAGCATAGCAAAAATATTTTCACCCATCCTTTTCCTTCCTCTAGTTCCTTTTCTGTGTACCAAATGCAGTCTTAATGGCATTACTCTTATCTGGGGCGGGACAGTTCCCTCTACTTTAAAAATTTATGTTGGATATAATGAAATTTTGTGTTCCATTTTCAGAAGACTAAAGTCTAAGAATGAATTTTAATTGCAATACTGCAGAAAATCAGCAGCGCACGTCATCGATGCAAAGACAATGTCAGCTGATCCTGTTGCAGTTGTTGAATTGCCACACAGAGTTCCATATGGTTTCCATGCCTTCTTTGTGACAGAGGTTAGTGTGAATCAACTTGTTTACCCTTCATATTGCTCTAGTTCATTCTATCTTCCAATTGACCTTATCTCCTATGGTTTCAATGAGAAAAGTTGGTAAAGCTTCAAACAATATGCTTGAGATGGAATTTGAGAAATTCGATTTTGACAACAGATAAAGTCTTCAAATAAAATGTTATGTTGGCCAATGTGCTTTAAGCTTGGTGGTATTTAAGTGTGTTCAACGTCAAATCAAGATGACCTAAAATGGAACAAAAACTGCAAAAGCGAATACAAATTCTTGACGTACATGCCCAAACTGATTAAGGGGAAGTTACAAAAAAAAAGTGATTTCGGTTAAGTTAAACATGAGAAAGTTCCCAGGAGTATGGGAGTTGTTGGGAGAACCTTAGGCTAATCATGGATTTTTTTTTTTTGGGGGGGGGGGGGGGGCTTTTTCAGCTTATTTTGATAAGCTAGTTGCTATTGAAGCTATTCCAAATAACTTATCAGAATAAGCTGAAAATTGATTTTTTTTTTTGGTGGTTAACACATCCCTCATGTCCAGTTTAAAATCCCCCATGATTCCAACAACTTCGTCATAGGTAAAATAAGCTAAGCCAAACACCCTCTTAATTTAACTAAATTTTTGAAAAACCTAAACAAACTGGTCCTAATTTATTTCAGTTCTGGTTCGGTTCCCAGGCTTTCAAGGTGAAACCGAGCCAACAGCGTGCTCTTACTTTTTCCCTTTCACTTTCCTTAATGCAGAGTTTTAGCATGATGCAATATTGGATATATCACTTTGATACAAGTTGCTAAATTTTCTGGTTAGATTTATAGGATCTGGCAAATCTGCAAGATAACCCAAGTACTACCTCTAATACTAAACATAGGAGCCAAATAAGGAGTTCACTTTAACTCTAAATATAATACTGTAGTTCACTTTGCTTTCTAAATTTATAATTTCTATCCAAAATATCCCTATTGATTGTGCATATTTAGGGATTTCCAATCAAGGGGTAGTTCTAATGTATATGATTAAAAGAGTAGTTTAAGAAAATCAAGACACATTTATTATAAATAACAAACTTAATCAATTTTCTTAATATCTTCAAATTACTTATCCGACTCTTATAGTAGTAATATGTTACCTATGATACCCCACTGGGGGAAGAAAATAATAATAAAATCCTGGCGTGCCACAACTTTTGGGTTTTCGAACTTTAAAAGTCATATCACAGAACACAATGCATATTTAAGAAACAATTTTACCCAATTTTCGAAAGAGCGATGTTTTAGACTTAGTTTCGTACTCGAACCCTTAAAAAATTGACAATTGGTTTCAATGACCCAATGAAGGATTATGCAATAGATAACAAATCAGAAGGTTTAGTTCATTATGTAATGATATGATATCTGATGGCAAAATATGATCCTCAATATAGTTCTGAGCACACAAACTTATTTCAACTTCAGTACGTATAGCTAGAAAATACTCTATTCGTTGATGATATAAAAAATTTGTATTTAGACATGAGTTGCAGTAATATGTATTTTTATTTTTTCCCCTTCTCTTGTATTTGCATTCTAACAAGTCATGGTTCTCTCCACAGGAACAACTGCAAGCACAGGCCAAACTCTGAGAGTCTTAACTCGTAACAGAAGATAATGCATCCCCTGCTGCCTCTGTACTCTTTTACACATCATTCTCATTCACTTGTTTGTTTTATACATGCATACATGCATATTTATATATATATATATATATATATATATATATATATTCAGAGGACACAAAGTGCCGACTCTTGTGATTACAAAGCTTGTGTATAATTACATTTACCGACCCAACTTGATTAAAATGAGATTAAAAATATTTAAAAACTTATAATTATCCTCCAACATGAAAATTACTGTTAAAATTAATATTCTAAGAAAAATATTTATAAAGTTGGTTAAATTTTAATTTTTTTTAGAACAACAATAAATCTTCACAATTTGATTGCGACTTTCACTTTATTAATTGGAAATTTTAAATCTTTCTGGTAGGATTTTTGGATATGATTTTTCTTGCTTTTAAATTGATTTTTGGGCAGTTAAATATTTAAATGGATGTGCAGCCGATGTCTTCTGGTCTCTGGAATCTCAACCAATCAACATTTCCTATAAAGAGAAAGCAGGGTTCAAATTTTGAGGGTCCAATATAAAGTGAAAATGAATTAATTAATCATAGGTGTAAGCGTGAGGGGTACATCACGCTATTCTTGTATTACAAACAAATAAAAATACGGAATGTTATCATCAACGTTAATGTGGGGAAGCCTTAACTACTCATTTGATTGTGGTTTTATTGATGACACGACAAATACTACCTCCGGTCCTAATTATAAAAACCAGTTGACTAATTTGAGAAGATTAAGAAAGTAAGTTGAGTTAGTTGTGTCTTAAATAGATGTTGTCTTTTTTAAAATATCCTTGCTAATCAAGTGTATTGACTAGAACTGTCATTGTTAGAAGGGCTACTTAATATATAAATATAAGAGACAAAGTAGATTGAAGTCTTATATTTAGGACCAAAATAAAAGTCAAACAGGGTTTTATATTAAAGACCGGAGGTAGTATTTCCTATTCATTATTCAAAATTGCCGCAAGAAAGGCAACCTCAAGACAACATTCTGTAAGCTAAAAAACATTTATTTTTGAAAAAAGAACACAAACACAAAAAGTCATGGTAAGGCAAGTGGGGTGACAAAGTTATAAAAATATGGAAGTATTAAAAAGAACTTTAGAATTCATGAAGTCAGTAACCACTAAATCCAGATTCATGTACTCACATTCACAAGTCCATCTCGTGGACAAGTTCAGAAACTATAAAAAAACCATTATTTCACTTCATATCTCATCTATTTAACAAATAAACCAAACCAAAGGGAGACCAATCGCAGAATGATCTCAACCCCTTTAACCAAAGTAACCGAGCCAAGAATGAGTTGCCTGTGAGGGTGGTTTCCTACTTTCTAGAAGGAAGAGACAAGCCTTTGGCCTCTTCACCTGCATAAATTGAAACTCCTATTAGGCTAATGATGAAACATGCAACCATAACAATACAGTATATATACAAAACAGAAAAGAAGGCAACCAAAAAAAAAATGATTGTTGAGAATATATAATAAATTTTATATCCTTGTTCTTTTTTCACAAATTATGGGGAAACAGAAATAGTTAATTTTAAGTCTAATTGGACGTCAAAGGCCAAAAACATAGCCATGCCAGGCTAGGGACCTGACCAAGGTCATGCCCAGTCCCACTCATAAAACCTCTGAAAAATATAGTAAACGAGCTTTACCTCACTAAGTGGGGTCGACCATGTGAATTGCACGATGCCATTGACTAATCTAATATAATAGACATTGTAAAGGAAGAAAGAAAGGAAATCCCTATCCATCTAAGATACCAAACAAGGTCACGTTTTCTAGAACTTAACCCATCCAATACCTGAGAAAATCCACCAACTCAGAAGATTTTCATTTGATGGCCATATTTGAGGCTCCGTGAATCTGCATGCTTCCCCTCTCTCGACCAAATAAGTCTCCACTGTGCATGTTCCCCACCATGGACACCGACATGTCATGATGATTCTTCGATGAGCCGAAAATCTCATTGTTGATTAGAGAATGGTCAGAGGAGGGTGTGTTGGCAGATATTGACAAAGGGTTTGAACCATTGTTCTTGTCTTTTTCGGGAGCAACATTGGAATTGATATTTTCAAGCTTCTTCGTATTCAGAAAGCGACCCCCACACCCTCTTGCCCTTCTCATAGCATGTTGGTGACGAGATTCGTGAAGATATGGCTGGTAAAAGGGGGAAGAAAGATGAAGTATTGTAATAATATGATCTCTTACATGCGAGACAAATGGAGGGTAAACAAAGAAGTCTGAATCCTCTGCAATAGTTTAGTAATATCATAGGAAAGATAATGATACAAAGAGATGATTGTATGATGCCCATTTCATTAATTTCCCCAAATACCGACACAATAGAGTTGTGAATGTATATACTGAAATGCTACATTAAACTGGTGCGCTCATTTTGTCCAGAGTCACATTGATTGCTTAGACATGGACTATTTACAGTATTTCATTCATTAAAATTAAGAATTGCAATAAACAATGTAAGGATCTTTTTCCCCCTTGCAGAAATTAAAGAGATTTTATATTATTCTCACATTAGTTGTTTGTCTTTTAAAACCTATATACTCTTGGCTTCCACACAATGGTTAAGATATTAAATAAACATGAAAATACTGAAATGTTGAAATTGAAGGTTTGAGTTTGGACAACTAAATCAACATATCAACCATACCTTTCTAACTTTAATAACTTTCCTTTCAAGCTCAGCCTTAGCACGTGACTGCCTTCGCCTTAAGATACCATGATACTGCTTTGCATTGACATAAACAGGCTCCTCTTCCATCTCTAGTGGCAAGGGCATTCTAGCCTGGTGCATTCCATACAACTGAGGATTTATCTAGCACCATGACAGTAGCAGTTAGGGAAAAGCAAATCAACAAGAACTTAATACATTTATTTAGTTCAATTAGAATCTTGAGAAATGTAAGAAGCATCACACGTGGACAAAGTGTCAGGGAGATTGAATTTGAGGGAAAGGCATATTGAGAAACAAGTTCATCGTGAAAGGAACTGCATGACACTGGGTAATTATAGTTCATTCATAGCATACATAGATAGGTTGGTCGGATTTGGATCTTATGAAGTTACATGCCTGTGAAGTGTTTCTGGAGTAACAGAGAGATAGAAAGGAAAATGGAGTGAGTGGAAAGAAAGAAAAGAGTTCTGCACAAACCTCCGATCTTCGTTTCACTTTTTCTTTCACTTCAAAGAAACTTATAAGTTTTAACATACCCTTTATTTATGGAGAAGCAAACATTATGTACAAATATAACCACACAGAAAATCACTGTATTTCTGATACCAAACAGCAGTTAGCATACAGACCATATTGTGAGGCCCATGAGATGCCAAGATTCCAGCATACTGTGCTTCTGAGTAAGGGTAAGAGGTTAAAATCTGCATGTACTAAGAAAACCCAAATCAAACGTTGCACAAAATAATAGATCCGGTAAATTGCCAAAATATTTTTCTGAAAGAAAAGAAGGGTATTGAGCCCTGGCATTGACTAGCTATAAACCTCCCAACTACTAGTTCCTCCTTTTTGTACTCTTGTGAAGGGATTTAGATATATCTTACAATCGAATGACTGACAAGTTCGGCTTGGGAATTTGAACTAAGGTGTTTGCCCATGGCATTTGGTGAAGAGGACATAACATATTTGTTGTTTTGGTCATCTTTGTTGACATTCCCACCTGAAATCAACAAGAATTTCTTTAGATATCATATGAAGCTCGTGTGCATGCAGAATTCATGGTAGGGCCAAGTTAAATTAGTTCCCACTTATGTTCTATTACCAACAGACGAGAAGGGAATTCTGAGAAAAGAAATGAAGAAGAAAATCGTGGACCTATACCATCAATTTTTGGTTTTCCTAGGCCTCACTCAAGGGATTACTTGTCCTTTTCATCATTATAGGAGAGGTATAGCATGCAAGATATGAAAACATCCCATGTTGTTATAAAAATTGATAGGTTATCGCCAATCACAGTTGAGTTAAGTGGGAAAAAAAATTATCAAATCACACAAATCGTACTGTATGAAAGGATTGATGTTGTCACCAGAAAATAGAAGGATAGATGTTAAGATTATGACGTAACATACAGCTGCGACTAAGATGTCAAAACACAGACACCAAACGTACCAACTGCAGAAAGTGAAGGTGAAACCATAGGCTGTGTCTGCTTATGAAAATCAACTTTATTTGCTCCTTCATTAACTGGTGAATTCATGACTGAACCACTAATCTGGTATACTGAAGATGACTTAGAGGCATTTTCCTCCACACCACGCCACCATGGCTGAGAGAAAATGCCTGATTGAAACTGAATCTGCCCTCCACCTTCATACCTCTTATCTTCCACATCAGATTTTCCCGGCATCCTTCCCAAGTTTTCCCTGAAATCAAACAGGAATAAGAAAAACAGAAATCGAAGTACAGATGCAAACAAGCACATGATCAAATAGAAAGCAGTTTGTAACTCCATTGTATTGTTTGAAAAAACACAATGAAGTTAAGACTAATTCAAAGGCCTGCAAGATGTTATGTAAAGGGCAAAAGCAAACGAATTTAATCCTATAATTAAGTTCTATATAGACATGAATTGATCAAGCAGAGTTCTTCAGCTGTGTGTTTGCCACAGTGAAAGGCTACATCACTACCCTTTCCCTTCACTGAAATGCTCTCAAGTTTTTTTCCCCCCATCTTTTCTTGCCAACCAGACACCCAGAAGAAAATTTCTACTTCCCACAAGTTCCCAAATTAGGAGCAACAGAATTCCATTCAGGCATACAGGATTTATCAGCAGTTACTGCGGAATCTAAATCAAAGCAAGAGAATTTTCATGATTTATAAGCAGAAACCTCTGAAGAACTTACTCCAGGTTGCGAAGCAGCAGAACAAGACGCAGAAGACTTAGGATTTACAGCCTCAGTTACATTGAAATGAGACCCATTCTCTCTCTGCCTCTCTGTCTGCAACCTTAAGAGAGACATACAGGAGACGAGGATGATGGAATTGGAGAAATATAGGTAAAAGAATTGACTAAACGAACGTGAAAGAAAGGTGAGAAAATGTGAGACTGGGTCCACCGTGGAGACGAAAATCATCCACTTTTTTCTTCTTTTTTCCATTTTTCAGATGATTAGACAAAGTGATAAGTTAATATCTGCAGGGTAATTTACTGTGAAGCCGGATCATGACAAAATTGGGAATTTTGGTTTGGTCTGAGAAATGTAAAAGGGGGGGAAAAAAAATCTTTTTTATTATTTCTTACTCACGCGAAGGTCGTTATCGGTGTCTCCTCTTTTGAAGAAAACAAACGAAAACATATTAAACCTAATTATTTGAGGGTGATATTTGTGTGTGATGGAAGAACGCGTACACGATTGGACAAAAATATCCTTCTCTAATTTCTTTTTCTCAACTCTTTTTTATTATTTGGTAAAAAAAACTCTTTTTTATTCTTTTTTATAATTGATTTCAAAACTCTAATTCTTCTCCATCAATGTGTAAATTTATCTTTTAAAAATAAAATAATTGGTCACTTAATATTATATATTCAAATTTGTAGTGAGCTCAAACGATAACTAATATTTAAAAGAAAATTATTACTCTTTCCGTTCTAAATATAAGATTCATTTTGTAGTGTATCATATTTTGTAGTGTAAATTATACTGTAAAATGGGTCTTATATTGAGAATAGGAAGGAGTATCAATTATTAATTAATTATAATTGATAATAAACAGAACACAATTTAAAACAAAAATAAAGAATAGGTTTCGCCAGCTTGATCCTGTCACGTATGTATGGGCAATTTGGACATAATAATATAGTCTATCTCATTAATGAGCTAACCTAACTTAGACCTTATTTTTTATAGTATGATTGATATGACAAGTTTTAATTTTTATATAATTTTTTTAAAAGCTAATAGTTCATCAAATTTAATCTCGCTTTGTTAAAATTAAGGGTTTGGTTCTTAAAATAAAATTTAAAACCATAATGCTTAAAATTTTAGGATTAAAGATGACATTAATCATTTTTAAGATATAGTCTTATAGAGTTGTTAACTTTTATCAATAGAAGTTAAATTTAGTAGAAAGAATTAATCTCCATAATATAATAAATTAAGATTTAAATACTTACTAAGAAAAATATACATCTTAAGTACCCAAAGATAACTGTGGCTTAAGAAAAATGAAAAAAGAGGTGTTAATTTTTTAATATTTTATTATTAGATACTGGAAGTTGGATAATTAAAAGTGTCCTGCATGCTGACACCTGTCTCGTCGTATCCAACGTGTCTCAATCATAAACGACATGCGTGGTCCCCACAAGGAGGACCCAGCCAGATGCCACGTTGTCGGTCCGCGAAGAAGCCATCATTATTTGTCAACGCTCCACCAACTTAACAGCCGTTTGCAGACGGCTTAGCTTACCCGCCTTTTTGGGTTTGTCGTTTTTCCCACGCAAGCAGTAAAACGACGTTTTTGGGGCGACGAATGAATTTATCTCCATGAAAATTTTAATTGTTGAACCTGAACCTGCATTATTTATTTTCTTTTTAAAATAAATAATTTTTTAACTAATATATTATTATTGATTTACAAATTCGTTGGAAATTTATTTTAACAAGAACTGAAGAAAAAATAAGACTATGCTAACGCTATTCAGGAATATGAATATTTACAGTGATTAATCTTTATAAGTTGTATTCAATTACAAAAAATAATAATAACATAATGGTTTTGTGTATTATGCTTTGTATATATCCAAAAAAACAGTACTCAAATATTTTTTGGCCAAAAAAAAAACAGGACTCATATTGATTAAGATTTTTTTGTGTACATCTTTATTTAGTATTTTTGTTTATCACAAAAACTAATTCTTTCAATGTTAATATTAACCACGCTTCCCTTTTTACATAATACTCCTCCGATCCTAAATATAAGACCCTTATATTATCTTTATTTAGTATTTTTGTTTATCACAAAAACTAATTCTTTCAATGTTAATATTAACTACGCTTCCCTTTTTACATAATACTCCTCCGGTCCTAAATATACTAGTATAAGGGTCTTATATTTAGAACTGGAAAAGTATAAATTTATTAATAGAAATGTTTACCATTCAACCTAAAGAAGGTTTTAGTAAAGAAAATTAAAATTGATATTGTAGTGTTATTTAATTTTTTCAAGACACTTACCCACCCATCTTTTTTCTTATAGAGAAGATCACACATGCCCAATGCCATATATAGGATTAGGATTTTTGGACCTCCCTTTAAGTTGGGAGTTGCTGTTGCCACTAAAATAATATGACATTGGCATTCTCCTATTTAAAGATAATCAATGATAAAAAGTGCTAATTTATTTTAGGAAAATGGTTTTAAAAAAAAAGTCTCTTATAAAAAATTCTATTAGCGAGAAAGACATAAATTAGAGTATCAATATTCTGTGTATAAAATTTGTAGATTACTAACATTTTCTGTGTATAAAATTTTTAGGGGAAATTGCAAAAAAAGACCTTGGAATTGTAAAAACGCAGATAGGGACCCTTGATAACTTCACTTTGGGTTTTGACAAGAATAATATGCCCTGAAGTTGTCAAAACCCAAAGTGAAGTTGTCAAGGGTCCCTATCTGCGTTTTTACAATTCCAAGGTCTTTTTTTGCAATTTTCCCAAATTTTTATCAGTTTTTCCTTACCAATAAAATCTTTAACAGGATATTTTCTCCCCAATTTGTTCATTTATTTGATATTACTAACTCCTGTTCTTAATATAAAAACTCTTTTGACTTTTATTTTGGTTCTAAATATAAAATATCAATCCATTTTGTATCTCTTTTTTTTTTTAAGATAGTCATTGTAATAATGATAGATCTAACCAATACACTTGATTAGGAACTATATTTTAGAAAAGACAATACCTATTTATTACAAATAACTAATTTAAATATTTTATAAAAGATAATAATTATTTATTATAAATAACTAATTTAACTAATTTTTTTAATCTATTTAAATTAATCAACTAATTTTTATATTAAGAACTGGAAGTAATATATCAAGAAAATTGCATAAATTACATAATATTTAACTCTCCTCTTGCTTAAAGCGAAAGAGGCATTATTAGTGTTTTACCAAGTGGAAGACACGTTGGGGAGGCACGTGTGGGGTGAGGGGGACCCGAAAGTGATGGTGAGTGGTGAGTAAGCTGCAACGTAACACGTGGCAAGGAACGAAGCTGGTGAGGTGGCAAAGAGCTGAACCACACACATGCACAACTGTACCATAAAGTTCTTTTGGTCCCTATACATTGTACCTTACTAAAAGTACCCTTTTTCCCACATTTAAATACATATGTACGCATGTTTGATTCTGTGATTCTACCTTCACACTTGTCTTCTAGACTAGTTTGTTGTTGTACCTGTCCTTACTCTTGTTTCATAAGTTTGTTTTTCCTTTTTTTTGACCGGGACATAAGTGTGTTTTTAGTGAAAAGGGAGAATACCAATGATATGAAGTTACAGATGTGATTAAACTCAAAACCTCTTATTTACAAGAGAGCTTTGTAAGTTGAAAGATATGAACTTAATTCTTAAATTTTAATTTGGTATAACTTAGGTTTTATAATTTTGACTCAATTGTAATTTAGTTTCTAAACCTTGACTCACTGCAATTCAATTCTTATGCTCTTAACCATTTAAAACTTAGTCCCTATGTTTTTAAAAAATAAAATGATATATTTCATGAACCTAAGGAGCAAAAGTTTTAAATGTCTAAAATTTTAGAAACTGAGTTGTACTGAATTTTCAAAAATCAAGTTACAATAAATCAAAACTATAAAAACTGAACTGTATCAAGTTACAATTTAGAGTACTAAATTATAATTGAATCAAAATTATGAGAAGCAAAAGATTAATTTTCTCTAGGAGTTAAAAGTTAGCTATATATTAAGTATATTTGGTTTGACATTAAACACTTACTTTTACTAAAATTATGATTTAATTATTTTAACATGTCAAATAAAAAAAATGAATATAATCAAAATGATCCATTGACTTAATGCATTTGATTTTAGATTAAGATGCAGTGTTAAACTTATTTGTAACCATTCTTTTAAAGTTAAGACAGGAGTTTTACTCTCATGTGGATCCAACTGGAATGGAATCACCAAATTATATGTCCATAGAATATAATACAAGGCTACATCTCAGAGGAATTTAATATTCAATAATTAGTAGTTTACGGCATGATGTGACATGATTGAGGCACTGAAGCATTATATAATTTAGTGTAGATGCATCAGTTTGCTTTTATATTTGATACCCAAAAAGGGAATGTATGCTTGCAGAGTGAGTCTACCACAAAGAGCACTTTCTTGGTTTTGAAGGCTCAGTTCAGAGAAAGTGATGGTTCTTATGAGAACTTAATATCTAAGCCATGGAGGACCCTACTCACTTACATTTCCTTCTGAACAAGAATTTAGGGAAGGGACAGTGACCCTTTTAAGTTGATGAGTAGCTTTTCCAAATGGAAGCAAGAAAAAAAGAACCTTGCTCTTCTTGTACTTTTTCCCAAGTCTTACGTCTAAAGAATGAAACACAAGTAAAATATTTATAAGTTTAAGTTTCACTTTTCAAGGATGGTTTTTCAAGTTCTGGTCTTCTATATTTGTTTATTCATTTTTTGTGGTTAGTGATTTCATTTTTTGCGTCAAGTTTTGATCAATGTGTCCCGCCTTGATAATACTTCACCTGCTTTTACTCTATTCTGTCGCAACAGATTCTAATTATTGACTTTGGAAGTTCATTAATGCCCCTGAGATGATGATGATGATGATGAAAAAAGTCCTGACCTTTTCTGTTTCAATGAGTCTGAAACAAATGAGAGTTTTGAGCTCCTTTTCATCAGAAGATGCATATTACTGGTTTCAGTCTAGGTGTCCATACATGTGAAGAAAGGCAAGCAACGGTTTGGCAAAGGGACATCCAATAACAGTTACTATTTGAGAAGTTTGCTGGTTAAAAGAATCTGGTGCAACTCCTCTTCAACTATCAACTATATGCAACATATATTTAATAATGTGTAGAAGTCTTCAAAATAAAAATCATTTATTCGTAGCTCAAGATCTGTTGTATACAAATAAAGAAGGATTATACCCATAAAAATAAGTTAACCTTGCTCAAATCCATGTCCCTTTCATAAATAAAATAACTTTTCAATCTGTAAAACGTGCTTATAAGTATTTTTCATCACTATCCTAAATAGGCCCAAAATTTTTGAACAATTACTTTTGACTAATTTTTTCAACTTGAAATGGAACCTACCAAAGGAATGCAGGTTTCATGCTCATCTTAAAAAATGACCATCAATGTTTATTGACGAGATGAAATCTGAATTGTGTAAAACAATAAGAGTTTGGTGAGTAAACTGCCATTTTTAGTGAAAAGATTAATAGGATTAAGTAGGTGTAATTACACGGGAAATGTGCATAAAATTCATTTTCTCTAACCCTTACCCGCTCTCTTATCTTTGTTTCTCTTACTTCAAACACATTTTACATACCTCTAGACTTAAAAGATCCGTTTTTCTAACTCTAGAAGATCCACCGTGGTGGAAGGCTTGGGAACAGTAAAAGGCAATGAAGCTTGTAATGTGTAAATTACATTGATCTGGCAAAAGAAATCGCATTATTCATGCTGTACAAACATTTTAGTACGACCTGCAACCCAAAAAGAATTATAGTATGACCACAACGTCCTATGTTACTACGTAGAGTTAAGAGGTAATAGTTTCCTCAAAAAGCATTTGTGATCTTCTCAATTCTGTACTTGAGACATCCACCTACAGGGCCACTCTCCTGTCCCCCTAACAGAACCCAAAATTTTGTTTCTCGTCCAACTTTGACATAGAGGACATACTTTTTGCCTCTAGGGCCACGATCAATCTGCTGAGGTCACGGAAACATTCCCTCAAGAAATTCATCGAAGTTATCGTCGTCGTCAATTTTATGATCACTTGCAGAAGTTGAAGCCCTTTTCCCTGTTAATATGTAAGAAATACTCAGCTGAAGGATTAGGTGCAAGGAGAAAGGATTTCCAAACATCTTAAAGTTTAAAAAAAAAAAAAAAGATTTCAACACATTCAGTTAATAATCAAGTTGACACTTAGGCAAAGCCCAGTCTACAGTTACCATCACGTGCAAAACCAGGACAAGAATATCCACAGTTCAAACTAAATCAAGGAACATATATCCGTACTAACTAACAAAAGCCAGGCAAATTAAGATCTCTGTCAACTTAATCACCAGTTCCTGAGAAACTTGGTGCTTCTACTTATTACTTCCATGCTAAGAAACAGCTCAGCAGATGTACATCTGAAGCAACCGACAAAACTAATGATAACATGAACTCAAATCCCTCATCAAAAAAGACAGACACATTCAAGATGAAGCCACACACACACACGGATGTTTAGAATGACCTCCCACCAAATGGGCCTCAGATTCATATAACAACAGCATAAAGTGTCAATAACCAGAATATCATATTCAGAATGATCCTTTCACAAGCTTCAGTCAACAAAGACAATCATTTGTATTTTTTATGAAAATACCCTGAATTCATTAATCCCAGTCAGACCTTCCAGCCAAAAAACATGAAATGCATCTTTACAGAATGCATGAGCAACAAACCCTTCTATGCATATTTTATCTGCTGTAAGTTTGTGTCTTCATGAGAAATGAATTGCTAAGTAGTTCTGCAAACCACACAATATAGAGCAACTACTGAAATACAAGGTCGGAAGCAAATTGTCATGGTGTAAAACTATGATGTTCTTCTAAAACGAGGCAACGTCAAACCTTTTCTCCTCCTCTCTTTGCTTTCATTGAGCTCTTCCGAGTCATCATCACTCTTTGAACGATTCCTACAAATCAAAGGACTCAATCTCCTATCTTTTTTGTCAACTATAAGTGGGAAAATAAGAACCGAGATGGCAACAAAATTCTTACCTCTTTCGGCTGCCTTCCTGTTCTCTTTTTTCTAATTTTTCTTTCTCTTTCCTCCTCTTGTAATGAAGCTTCTCAGCACATCTTTAGCACCAATAAAACGAAAATTAAGGCAATAAGTCGTTTTGCCCAAGAACATAGTGCATCACTAATATTCTGTTCAAGATCTCTGGGGTAACTTCCTGACTATAAGTGTTTCACAGGCCAGCACAATCTTGAAGCTGATTTTGAGGATCAATTACAGGAATACCAGAACTTATATCTTAAGAAGTATCAAAATCTTTTAACAGAATAGGAAAGCATCAAAATCATCCTCTTACAATGCAAGTATGCCGACTAAATAGCGAGTGTGTATTAATGTGTTTTATTCCATATCTGATAGGCTAAAATTGTGTCATTAGTAGAATTTTATCCTTTGATCATATGAGTATTTAATGACTTATCTCGTCTCTTCTCCCATAAAAAATCTCATGCAGGTCAGAATTCAAAGACTACTACATTTCATTCAAGAATTCTCACTTGCTTTCTCCACACTTTAAACTTTCAAGCATCAATTTTTGTTATGTGACACAAAATAATTTTCATAACAACGGCCAAACTAGAAGAGCTTCAGTTGCAACACTTAGATTTAAAATTTCAAAATGTAAAACTGATTCTAAGAAAGTGATGCTCTTCAGACTATGAAATTCTACAGCAACTCCAACATGGACTTTGAGGATGTATATTCATGGATTGCTTGCAATGGACACCTTTTGTTGTGACATGTATTTCCTATAAATGTTTGCGGCAAAGGCCCCCCCCCCCAAAAAAAAATCCCACTGGAAATTCTTCTTTCAGAGAAGTGGGCTATGCAAACTTTCACTGCAAAAGCTAGAAACCTCCTGTCTATGATCCATCGATTTAACAAAAAAATTTCATGAATATAGTTATAATACAAGTAACAAAGCTAGCAACAGCATATAATGACTCACCTCTCACAGGTTACCAACTTGACAAGGGCTTGTTTGTTTTCCCCAGCTTCAAAGTAACAAAAGTTCACCTGTGAAGAATGCAAAGAAATGGAAACATCAAATAAGACGAGGCAAACCACAATGACTCAGTTCTCAGGCAAAAGATTTTGGCAGGACAGGACATAACCCTTTCGTGAAACAAGAAATTGAAAGACAAGATGATATCATATGTAAAGACTAGGAATAAAAAAGACTTAAGCATCTTCAAATTAAGGCTTTTTTTTCTTTTTAAGTAAGCCCATTCTAAAATATGAAGACCTTTTTAATAGATCAACTCGTTCCTTCACCAGAGTTTTTTCTTCGCCTTTTCATCTGTCAAGCTCTTTCTCCACCATTAAATCAATACTCCTTCTGTCTCGCTCTCTCATAGAGGAGTTTTATAGTATATGCCCATTTAAAATCAAACTAACACATCTGAACCCCAAGCATAGGCACACAGCAGGCTAGTGGAATAGATTAATGAATGATAAGAAGAAAAACTTGCCTCATAGCTTGCTAAGCCATCTTTCTCATCACAATGTTTGTTCCCACATATGAACTGGCCTGCAAAGTTGTGTAGCCAATTAATTCTAAAATTTAACAAGAGCCTAGCCATTTTTAAAACTAAATAAAACCTGAGACAACTATTTCCATAACAGCATGAATGAAATAGACAAGTAAATCTGTAAACAAAGTACTTGTACAAGCATGATCTCCTGAATAAGCATGCATATAATGTCAGCGGTTTAGTGAAGCAAGCTCGGAAACAAGTGAACTTGTTCCGTTGACAAAAACAATGACTGATATAGTAGGTAAAACATAATTTTATCACACCAATATATTTGTTTGAGGTTTACAATGATAATAATAATAATAATAACAACAATAGCAGCAATGAATTATAATAATCAGTTTTCTTCTAAAAGGACCAGTAACAATGCATTTGGACACAAACGATTTTGATAGAAAAGTATTGATAAATTGAACATGAACTTAAATAGACAAGTTTCTTTGGAAATAAAGAAATGCACAAAAGTCACACAAACTAAAATGCACAAGATAGACCTAGAGGGTGAAAAATGATTCCTCAGTAGCCAGCAAGATGTCATTACCCTTGCCAGATATCACTTCCTTCTCTGTCCTCCATCTGAGGCCAATCTACAAGAATATGCCATTATTAATATATGACATTTAAAATGCACTAGAACTGTGAGAGCTTTTATGACACAAAAGTGGAGAGCCTCTACCAAGAAACTGGGATTACACCAGAATCTCCGGTCTCAAAGGATTTCAAATGCTTTATATATTAATATTACCTAAAATGTATTAACGCATATGAAAAATGACTTCTCTCTGTCCAGAAAGATATGTCGTTTATAAAACTAAAAAACCAAATAATATTGTCAATATGTATCAATTACCCTAAACCTGAAGCACACAATGAGTTCAAGAATAGTCCAAAGTCGAAACCTCTATATGTTTTAAGACACCCTTTGAGAACAAAAGTAGGGAATCAGATTGCAAATGCAAACACTAAACCCCTTGGATCAGGGACTTACCAAACAAGATGATATAAAAGAAGAAACAACAAAAGGACGGCAGCATTTTGAAATACATTAGGAATAAGTTCCATAGGCATTAAGTAAATCACCTTGCCACTCTTGTAATGAGACATATCAGCAATGCAATATCTTTAGAATATTCAATTAAGGCAACAAGCAAACCAGAGGATTTGACATCACAAAAACTAGAACATTTTAGGAAAAAAGAAATAACAAGCAACACATAATTTTACAGCGGCAGACCTATGAACATCAAAGACAGTCAAAGTGCAAAAATTATTCCCTAAATATTTCCATAACCTCATTCAGAAACTTATATAGCATGATATGCGCATAGTAAAACTCTAAATCAATCGGTCCAAATAATGATGGAACTGAGATCAAATAGAGAGGAAAATAGGGGGGCCCTTAGGATTGAGTAGGCTGAATTTGCATTGATCAATGGATGAAGATTTTAGTGGCAACAAGAAAAATGAATTTAGATTTTAGCAAGAAAGATATAATAAGGGTCTCAAGCTAGCCATGCTTGGCGTTAGCTCAGAGATTAGTTGTTTATTTTGACAATAACTGAAATTAAATTCAAAGGGAGAAGGAAAACTAGTGTCAAAGAGAAGCATATTGAGCTTAGATGAAGCAATATCGCAAGAACACGCTCATACTCCTCAAATGGCATGCTAACATCAACAGCGATGTCAGTCAGTCTTCACAGTTTCAATTAGCCCCTTTTAGTAAAACATTTTGCCTAAAGAATGTTCCTGGTGGAAAGCAGAAGTATGAGTTGACAGGCAGGCATAAACTGCTATTAAGTTCTCTAAATTTGAGCAGCATTATCTTTGAATTGGGCATGATGCAAATTTCTTCTGCCAACTTGGTAAACCAAATGAAAGTCAAATCCTAAGATTACATCAAGATCAAGCATTACCGATTTTTTTTTAAAATTTTTGAGACAAATAAAAATCATCCAGTTCTCTTTCAATATCAATAATCAATAGGTTCAGTAAAACTAGGGTCAAGTTGTAAAGGATACTCTTTGAAAAGCTTGTCATAGTAACGTTTCACCAGCCTTTGTTCCCAGGAAGGATCCATATCATCTTCTTCAGAGCGTATGAATCTTGCATTGCATTTAAATTAAAAGCATCATAAATTCAGGCAATCCATGTACTGAGAAAATGATGAGTAGATGTTGAGATAAGCTTCAGGCCTTACGCCTTCAGCAATATCACAAACAAATAGCAACTAAAAACAAGAATGAACTTACCTATATCCCTCTCTTAGTGTGTCTTTATCTGTTTTAATAGGCAAACGTAAATTGGAAGGTTTTTCTTTCCCATAGAAGCTAACTGTGACACCAATAGAGGATTCTTAGAAGACTTATGAAAACATAATATAGCCATACCCAGGCTGCGGAAAACCAATTAAAGCTTCCACATAGAAAAACCGGACATATTATGATCAATCAGCAATCAGCAAAAGACATAAAAAACATAAGAAACATTTCACAAGAAAAGAAGTACCAAACCCCTGGAACCTATTGTTTTATAAGATGGTAGTAGGTCTCAACGTAGGAAAAAATAAATCTACAGCTCTAGTTACGATAAAAGGGAGATGTGAGGATGATTGTAGCCTCCTTCCTTCTAAGTGGAGGAGACTGTTCATCATCCACTTGCTTTAGGACATTAAGGACCCAACAAATCAAGTACTCCAAACTTGCTTAATTTCCATAGTGTCCATTCCCGGTCCAACTGACAGCTGATCAAATGTCAGGAGTTTAATAATAGATAATGACCAAGGAAAATGCAAATGGTGAACAAATACTTTTAGCTTTCATGACAATGCGTCCATTGGAATGGCCCCGAAAATCAAGTTGGACGATTACCCGTTCCTTTCTAAGATACCCAAAACTACTAAAAAATCAAACATTTTAGCACTTACAAATCACAGTTACCACGTCACTCATTTAAGAATTCTTGAACAAACCAAGTACGAGAAATTAAATAGAAAAAACAGATTAAAGCTTAGAGCTTGTAAAAAGGGTCAATTCCCAAATACCGTACAAATGAAACTATAGGTTTAATATATTATCATACCGTAATCATTCAGGAACTTCTTATGCCGATCATAAGCATTAAGCCCTCGAATATGTGCCTGGTATTGCCTACAATACCATTCAAATGGAATTACTAATTAAGCAACAAAACGAGTGCAGTAACACAGAAAACTGGGGCAATCAAAACCAACAAACGCACTGTTTTCTCTCTTCTCTCTCAAAAATTGCTGATTTGAGAGATCCAAATGATGTCATGCTTGTCTCCGCTACAGAAAAACCCTAGGCTGCCAATAGCCAGGCGGAACGCCCACGATTCAGCTCCAAAGAGAAGCAATAGAAAGGGCGGGGAACTGTAAAACGACGTTCGTTGATCGTTCTATCCTTTGCCTCATTTCTAAGCGCAGGGAAGACGCTATGTCGGTCTACTTCAACAATGTTAACTTTTTTCTTTTTTTGGAGTAAAAGAACAATGTTAACTTTTTTACATGGTATTAAAACCTAGCCTAAAGTCTGTAATACTTTTTTCTCCTTTAGCTAAGACGTCATTTTGAGCTTTTTTTCCCTAAAAAAAAAAAATACTTAGAAGATAGTGAGGTTCGGAGATCTTTTTGTCGTCATTTTCTCATGATGTGGTAGGAAATAAGTGCAATATCATCAATATGCAAAATAGAAACTGATTTGATCATGGCGTTGTTTATGTGTTGGGCTGGGAGAGTATGTTTTCATCCTTCATTATCGTGCTTGTTATGTTTTTTTCCCCCCTAAGGGGCTTGGCATAATGAGTTAATTACATAGTGGTATGAAAACTCTCTTACAAATATGAGATTGTGAATTGGATCTCACATAAAACGGCTTTTTTGTCCGGATACTATAAACAGTAGAAGATATAACCAAAATGCGACACAGTAGGAGGTATTTCTTGAAATACATCACTGGAACTCGTTCAGGGTGAGAACGACTTTAAATTTCTGAAAAAGCTGTTTATGCCAAGAACAACTTTGGGGATGTGACATATTTTTTTAATTACAAAAATTAGAAGTCATTCATCACGTGAACGACTTTAGTTTTATCCTCATTCAAAAAGTGTTCCAGCGTGTCGTCCCGTGATATTTCCATCACTTGTACTGTAGATTAGTCAAATCAATCTGTAAGATTTGCCATGCGTTATCCGTTCGGTTCTCTCAGCTCGTGAAGGCATAGTGTAAAGCTGAAACTTGAAGTAATAGAAGAAGAAAAAAGGTCTATGGGAGTAATAAGTGCATAGTTCATATAATTGTTGCATGCTCTGATATTTTTTCCTATGGTTGCTTTCTTTCCTCAGTCCATTCTTTCCTCTTCCTCAGTCCATTGTTCCTCTTCCATAGATATTGGCCATTTCTTCTTCTTTTTTAGTTGTTTCCTTCCTGTTCCAGTTAGGCATTGGAGGTGTGTATTGTATTGTGATGTACTGCATTTTATTTCAGCTTGAAGGTTGATTATTGATCTGATTAAGGTGCATGCTCTTACTTAATTTCTTTTTTAATTTTTATAGCAAAGTTAGTGTATTTAGTCATGAATTTTTTGACACGTTGAGTTTGTTATTAAAGATGAAGACATGTTGCTAATTTTCTTATAATAAATAATATAGTAGTACTAGTTAAGCATATTATATTACGTAATTGTATTCACAGGAGATATAACTACCTAAAAAGAAACGGACTCTAATGTGTTCAATGGATCCGCAATAATTTTTATGAAAATGCAGAAAAGCCATACTTTTAACCAGGAAATATATATATCAATTAACACCATGGAAGAAAGTATGAAAATTCAAATGTTGCAGACATAATTTTGTTTGGCTAACTATGTAGTTAATATTTGGTTTTCTTAATAAAGGATTAAAAGGGGACGGGTATAAATGATTTGGAAGAAAAAAGTAACTAAAATATAAATCTTTTAAGACTCAATTCTTTTAGAGCAAATTCCCAAATTAAAAATTCATTAAATAAAAAAACATAATATTAAAATTACATTTTATTTATGTTTTGACTATGTTGAAATTCAAAGAGACAATAATATTAAATATGTAATAGTTATTAAAAAGAAATAAATATTCCCTCAGACTTTATGTATTTTAAAAAATAATGCTAATTTATATTAGTTAAATTTCTTTAGTTAAAAATATTAAATATTAATTTTTTAATAAAAGAACACATGTTTCATTTTCTTCTTGAAAGGCTTTAAATTTATTCAATTATGTAGTTTTTTTTTTTACCTTATATTTATGTGGACTTGACAACTTTGTTCAGTATTTTTGTTTCTTTTTGTTATTGTATCATTAATTTTAAGATATTTAATATATTATACATGTAATTTCTTGCATTGTTAAGTGTTTTATTAATAAAAATAAATTGATATGTAGTAGTATATGTAGCATATGTCTATATATATAGTAAAATATTTAGAAAATAGGTATAGATTAAGATTTTAGAATATATATGGTATAATATTTAGAATATAGGTGTGTGTAGATATTTTGAAAAGATCAATTTTAAAAATTATATATTTGTATTATTTTTTATAATTATTTTATTATCTTATAAATAATAGAATATGGGTTGAAAAATGAAATATATTCATTGTAGGGAGTATCTGGCTAAATAATTAAATTTAATTAGGAATTTTTTTTCTATGATACTAACATTGTGGTGAGACCATTTTGTGTATTTCTATGATATGATTTTTTTGGGAAAAAAAGGGATTGTGGAGTTAATTTATTTTCACAATTTAATTTTGATTGATTAATAATTATAATGTCATATCTAGGGAGTAAAATGGATCATAGGAAGGAGTTCGTGTGTGTGTGTTTGCAAATGAACGAATTTTAAACGACCCCATCGGTGTTATATTTGAATCTAATAAAGTGAAAGTAATCAAAATTGACCCAAATATTACTTTGGATAGATTGAAGGAAGTTGTTGGATGAAAGCTACGACTTCCTTCCAATCAAATTGTAACAAATTTGGTATACAGATATTCTACATGCATAAATCCACTACAATACTAAGCATGCAATTTGGAAGATAACTCAGGTATAAAACAACTGTGGCAAGTGACCGAAAGATTTTCAAGTCAATTGATATGTGTAGAGTTGTATGCCAACATATGTGATGTAGAAGATCATGGTCATGTTGAGCCACAACCAACAAATAATTATAATAGAAATACTCTACCATCAAGTTACAATGAGTTGAACATTGTCAAGCAAGAATCCATGTTTAGCAATCACATGATATGGATTGGACCACACTCGATGAAGATTATGTAGACAAATTAGTCATGATCGCTCTACTTGTCTACAAAGATTGGCATATAGACAATGACAATAGATTATGTATTTCACTTTTTTTAAAAAAATATTATGATTCATAAATAAGATGAAATTACAATTAGTTTCTTTATTTTTATATTATTTGGGTTTTTTTTTCTTCAACTTATGTAGACATATTTGAAAATGGCGCAATCTTCAAAAAAAGATCATCAACCTAGATCCAAAGGATAACTCTCTTCTATACTTGCAATCTCGACATATTTCACAAGTGTGGAATGATAATGTAAGTAATATCTATTGACTATATATTATAAATTATAGGCTTTGATACTGGCTTTTTTACCTTTTCATTGTAGGTTTCTAGAATCCTACACACTAGATGAGTCATGCAAACTGATCAAATGATTGAGCCGCCCAGCCATCTAATCGAATCTCTTAGATTAGCTGGATTCAATGGCATTGCTCGAATGGGACAATTTGATTATTATCAAAGTTTAGTCTCAATACTTATTGAGAGGTGGTGTCCTTAGACTCACACCTTTCACACTACACATGGAGAGTGCACAATAGAGTTAGAGGATGTAGCTATGCAATTGAACCTTCCATGTATGGGACTTCTTGTCATTGGGAGAACTAACTTTAATTGGCTAGATGTTTGTAAATGGCTTCTAGGTATTAAACCACTGGCAAATAGAATGAAGGGGCAGTGACTACTTATCAGGTGGTTGGAAGAGCACTTTAATCACCTACCTGATGATGCAGATGATGTACAAATTCAAAAATTTACTCGTGCATACATCTTTAGGTTGATTCATGAATATCTCATGCTAGATAGATCGGGTACCAGAGTATATTTAATGTATCTTTCACTACTTTATAATCTTGAAGAAGTTGGAAAATTTAGTTGGGAATCAACAGTTTGGGCTCACTTGTACAGAGAATTATATAATGCTACTAATCCAATTGAGGATAGAATTGGAGGATGTTTATCATTACTACATTTATGGGCATGGGATCGCTTCCTAATACTAGCACCGCAACGACCTGTATCTCCAGATCCACATTCTGATAGGTACCCCGTCTTACCTTCTTTGGGTTTTAGGTATGCTAAATTCATCCAACAAATATTTGATATACACTTATTATTAAAATTATACAAAATTTTAATATTATTTTTTGTGATCATAATAGGTGGGAAAATGTTAGACAAAGTCCTCATCCAATTGCCATGACTTTACTCCAATATAGGAGTTTTCTTGATAGAATGATTGATGGCGAGATAATTTGGGGGCCATATAAATCCCCTAAAGTGCACCAATTAATTCTAGAGTATTGCTTGGCAACACCCGAAATTTGGCTTGTTTCTGTTCCTCTAATATGTTTTCATATTATAAAACGGCATCACCCTAACCATGTGTTAAGGCAATTCGATCATCAACAACCAATTCCTGTCCCATCTGTTCATTCGGGAAATTATCATACAATACAACTACGTGGTAGGACAACTACAAATTGGACTCAATGATACTCAAACTTCATTGAAGCCTAGGATAGATGGCCACATATTATTGTTCACACTCCTGTTATGCTTGATGAATTTGATCAAACATCTGAATATATACAATGGCATTGGAGACATACAAGACGATAGATCTGGCTATGTGGTAAGTTTTTCACCTTTTTCCCACCAATACCATCTTTTTCTTTTATACAACAAGTGTTATACAAAAAATGTCTTATTTAATTATTTATTGTGTTACCAAAAAAATACCTTATTTATTTCAGGCTGACATAATATATGAGTTATATAGGCTAACGATTGGTTCTTGTTTGACATGCTCTAACTGCACCGATTTTTGAGAAAGAGTTGCTCTGGACCAATTCAACATCTTACTTGCAATGAAAGAACAACGACTTAACATGAACCCTCAGTGTGCTCCACCAAAAGTTGATTTGCCTCGCCCACAAATTCTTTGAGATAAACCTAGCACGTGATGTGGTGGCTACTTGTCTACCCAACCACCAATTCAAAATCAAAATATTGAGGGACAAGAGCATCAAGTTTTTAGTCAGTCGTATTATATGTCAGCCTCATCATCATCCCCTATCACCTCT